CACCACAACCCCCAGCAAACCCCACAGAGCCCATTACCACCACCCACCAATGCTCCCAGCATCACCAAGTACCAGCTCCTGCTACCAAATCCTAACGCCTCGGTACTTCCAATGCTCCCAGTACTGCCCAGGACCTTCCAGCACTGACTCCAGTGCCTCCTGGTCCTACTCAGAGGAGCTTGGTACCAGCCCTGTATCAATCAAAGTGCTCTCAGTATCATCCACTACCCCCCTCAAYGCCCTCTAAGGTCTCCCCCCCGGTTCCATGCTCCCAGTACCACCCAGTACCAGCTCCCAGTTCCACATCCCAGTGCTCCAGTACCTTCCCCAGTGCTCTCAGTGCTTTCCCGTGCCCCCAGKACAGACTCTGAGTGCTTCCAGTGACTCTGAGTGCCCACAGTGCCTCCAGCAACACCCAGTGCCGGTGCCAGCCACCAGCCCAGCCCAATGTACCCACCTCCCCATGTCCCCTGTCCTGTCCCCAGCACCAGTGACCCAGTGCTCCCCCAGGGCAGCTCAGCCTGGCCCTGTGCCCTGCAGGGCTCAGGGATGGCTGGTGGGCACCAGCCCGTCCCCGACAGAGCACACGCAAAGCACCCACGTCTGTCCCAAAGGCAGTGTTTATTTGGGGGTGCCCCCAGCTGCAGCAGGGGGGGCACTTGCTCAGCCCTGGTCACCCCTGTGTTTCCCATGTACAACTATTTACAACCCCCACACGCACTGGGATGCCCCGAGGGGCTGGGTGCCCCAAACACCCCCGGGTGCCACTGTCACCAAGCACCAGCAGCTGCTCGAGGTTTCACACCAGCATGGCCCCTTCTCYTTCCCTTCTCCACCCAAAGGCCCTGGGACCAAACCCCCACTATTGCCTCAACACCTCGCCCCTACCTTGAGGTCCCATCTCTCCCCCACCGAGTCCCCAGAGAGGGGASAGAGCCATGTACCCTCACCCACAGCCCCCTCCTCCTCAGCTTCCCCACAGATAGCACCTGCTCCTCAGTAACTCTATGGGGAAACTGAGGCACAAAACTATGGCCCCGCTCCTGCCTCACCTCCCTGCCCTCCCAGGGCATCATCCCTCCCACACCAGGCCCTCCATCCCCCAGCATGGTGCCATGCCCCAGCTGTGGGGAGAGTGGCTCTAGTGACCCACGGTCCCTGCACAACAGGACGTGGGGGTCCGTGGAGAGGGGGAAGATGGTGACAGTGGCAGCAGCCACCTTGGGGGGTCCCTGCTCCTCCCCGGGGGTCCCTGCTCCTCCCCGGAGCTGGGAAGTGAGGGTACCACCACCCCAGTGACTATGTACAACCCATAAATAAATACCACCTCCTGTGGGAGGGGGGAAGCGCGTGTGTCTGCGTGTGTGTGTGTGCGTGGATGTGTATATATATATATATATATATATTTATTTATAGATATTTTTAATATTAAAAGGGGGAAAAATAGACCACTGTGCTAGCAAAGTCCCTGATGATGGTTTCATGTATGCCCATAGGTCTCTGGCTGGTGATTCCGGCGATTTCGAGGCTTCTTCTGGTCCTGCTGCTCCTTRGCTTTGAGGCCAGCCAGCGGCTGCGGGGGGCTGGCGGCCGTGTGCCGCCAGTAGCCCTGGCAGTACTGGTCCAGCAGTCCCATTTCGGGCTGGGTGAGGAGCTGCAGCAGGTCCTGGTAGCGGGGAGTGGGGGCACCCGGCAGGCCGGGAGGGCTCTCGGCCTGGACCAGCACGGCRTGGACGGCGCGGCTGCTGAGGACACGGAGCTGCACCTTGGTCACCGTGTGCTTGAAGTTGTTCTCGGTGGCGGTGCAGGAGTAGAGGCCGCTGTCGCTGAGCTGCAGGGCGCGCAGCAGCAAGCCCTGCTCCGTGCGCAGCACCCGGCCCTCCACCCGCAGCTGGGGGTGACAGGGACACGGCTCAGCGGCTGGAGCCCGGCACCCCGGCACCCCCAGAGCGCCKCCCGCCCTACCTCTTTCCGCCGGTCGCTGTTGTCCTTCTGCAGCAGCCACTTGACGCTGGCCTGGGGCGAGCGGGGCTGGCACTCCAGGAAGGCAGTGCTGCCCTCCACCCCGTACTGCACAGCCTCCACCGTGTTCTTGTTAGCTGCAGGGGGACAAGGGCAGCCAGGTCACCCCCACCGCACTGCACACTTGTGCTGCCCACCCTGTCTCCAAGGGAGAGCTGTCTGCCTCCAGCCACACACCATCCATCCCTTTATCCATCCATCCCTTTATCCATCCATCCCTTTATCCATCCATCCATCCCTCTGCCCACTCATTCAAATCTGTTTCATCTCCTCCCCAACAAATCCATCTGTCCATCCAGATCCTGTCCCCATTGTATCCATCTATCCATCCATGTTCACCCTACTCCTCAATGTATTTATCCATCCATCCCTTTATCCATCCCTTCATCCATCCATCCCTTCATCCATCCATCCCTTCATCCATCCATCCCTTCATCCATCCATCCCTCCATCCATCCATCCCTCCATCCATCCATCCATCCATCCATCCATCCACGAACTGACCCATTCATCTGTGCTTATCCCCAATGTATCCATTCGCCCATGTTCATCTTCTTCCCTAATACATCCATCCACCCATCCACCCCCACATTCGTCCATGTATCAACCCATACACCCCCCCCACAAAACCATCAACCCCCCAGGGAATCCCTGTGTCCCCACCCTGTGCCCTCCCAGCTGCCACATGTCCTTGCCCCAGACCCCCTCACCGTTGGAGTTGTAGCCGCGGCACTGCCGGATGGGGTTGCCATGCCGGACATCCTGTCGCCGGCTCCGCCTGTGGGGAGGCGGGAGGTGAGAGGGGGAGCCTGGGGCTGGGGGAGTCTCTCCCCGACCCTCTCCCTGGCTYCCCGTGTACCTCTTGGAGGAGGTGGAGTAGCGGGTGCAGGCGCTGCCGTCCCAGGCACAGTAGGGATCCCGGGCCAGGCAGCAGTCGGCGCASGCTTCCCCGTACACGTCACAGCGGTGCAGGGCCAGGTGGGTCACGCCTACGGCCGAGGACACATAGAGCTGTTGCTGTTGGGGACAAAGGGGACAGGGTGAGATGCTGCCTCATCCCCACCGCACCAGGACCCCTGCATGCCTCCTGTTCCGGTGCTGTTGTGATGCTGGACAGTGCCACAGCTGGGCTGGTGATGGGATCTGCCCACCCAGACCCCTGCCACGTGATCTCACTCACCCTCTTGGAGGAGATGGTCATCGTCTTGATGGGGGCTGGCACCTGGATGGCAGCAGGAGTGAATAAGATAGAGGGATGACTGCCTGGACCGATGCTGCAGCCTGGGGCGGGTACCCCAAACCCACCACAGGCAGCTGGGCCGGGCAGAGCAGGCAGGGGGAAATGTGAGTGGGCAGCAGGCAGAAGGACCAATGCTTGGAGTCCTGCCAGAGCTGGTCAAGAGGCAGCTGGTGTCCCAAGGGACTCGCTGGTGTCCCCAGGGGCTGGCTGGTGTCCCCAGGGGCTGGTTGGCTGGTTGGCTCTGATAAGGGTCCAGAACCCTTATCAGAGGGTGGAGAACATGCCAGCCCTTACCTTGAACACCTCAATCTCCTCCAGCATGAGCTCCTCTGTCTCCATGTCATCCCGGGGGAGCACGATGACCTTCTGCACAGTGCCCCGATCTGCAAGACACCAGAGTGCCCAGGTGCTCAGTGCTAGCCCTGGGCAACCATGCCCTCCCTGCCTGGGAAGGGGGTCCCTGCTGGGGCTGTGGGCAGGAAGGATCCCCCAGGCCCATCCCCATCTCTCTCCTGCYGTGGCAGGTAGCTGTGCCCAGGGTGCAGTGTGCCAGCTCGGGTCACCACCTGTGCCTAGAGACTGCCACCACTCAGGGCAGCATGGGGATATGGCCAAGAGAAGGACCAGGACGGATCATGGAGGCTCTGGGCTGTGCATTAAGARCAGGGAAAGCACTGGGACGGATGTCAGTGCCCCCAGAATGGGCAATGAGGTCTGGGAAGGACAGGGCTGGATGTGCCCCTAGGATGGGCAACTGGGCAGGAAAGGCACAAGGCTGGATGATGGTGGGCTTAGCATGGGCAATGGGAAGCACACRGGATGGGTGCTAGGGTCAGGAAAGGAGGAGAGTGGATGATCRGGCTCCTGGGACGGGCACCAGGATAGGGGAAGGACCAGGCTGAATGGTAGCATTTAGGATGGGAAGGATCATGCCCGATTGCTGGCTTCAGTGATGGGAACTGGGCTAAGGGAAGAACCAGGCGGAACAGCAGAGTCTGTGGGATGGACACTAGGACAGGGAAAGAACCAGTCTGGAGCCCTGAGGAGGGGCAAGGATCTCAGAAGGGACAGTCTCAACCCCTCACCCCGCTCTAGCGTGGCGGAGGGCACCGTGCTCTGGCCAGCCCTGGTGGTGCCCGCGCCCTCCGGGGCCGCGCCGGAGCATGCTGCGTTCCCCGCGGTGCGCGGCGTGGGTACCTGTGCCCAGGAAAAGCACCTCATAGCGCCCATCTGCCGCGTCCACCTGGTCCACGGCCACGGTGGTGAAGCGGTAGTTGACGTTGGTGCGGACCACCAGCGGCCGGCGGTGCGTGGGGTACACGGCGTGGTACATCAGCGGGTGCGAGCGCATGAAGTTGATCACTTCRTCAGGGTAGTCCTTGGTCGACTTCATGGATGGGGTGAAGGTCCCCCCGGGGCACTGTGGCACAAACGTCACCGGTGCTCGGTGAGTCGGTATTTGGGCACAGTTCTGAGGGTGCTGRCTGCCCGGCAGGCGCTGGGTCACTGCCCCGTGGTGCCCGGGGGTTACTTACAGTGCCCGGCCGGGGGTAGGGCATTTTCCCTGTGTAGGGCATCCACTGGTAGTTGGGTCCCTCCTTGTGGGCRAAGGGCCCGTTGAAGACCATGCGGATGTCAGCCATCGAGTAGACGCACACAGCAGAGCCCTTGAAGACTGACCTGAGGGCAAGGACCAGCTGCCACCCTTTGTCACGGCATTGCCAGGACACCCACCCAGCTGGGACCCCCTCCTCTGCTGCACAGTGCCAGGAGGACCAGCACTCACCCCGAAGCAGAGAACACAGCGTAGATAACAGGGTTCTTGGTGTCCTGAGTCTGCTGGATGAAGACATCCTCTTGGGACAGAAAGATGGAGGTGTCACCATAGGGAAGGTGGGCAGAGACACCAGGGTACAGGGAGAGCAGTTACCCACGGATGAGCAAGAGGCAGGGGGCAGCAAGGGGGTCCCCAGCTCTGCCCAGGGTGCCCCCCAAGCCTGCAGGGGTAGAGAAGGCTCCCATCCCTCTCCTGGCACACTCACGGAGCTCATCAAARTGCGTTTCAATTCCATCGGGTCCCGGCACAGAGCAGACGAGCCGGGCCTTCAGGAAGGTGCTCCACTTGTTCACGAGGCAGCAGTGGCCCCCATCGTCATTCTGCAACAGAAAGAGCCCTGTGCTCAGCCCTGCCTGGCCCCCTGCCCCCTTCCCTGCCTGCTCCCCTCCCGTCCTCAGCTGCACCTACCAGGCAGATGCGCCCGATGCGGGAATAGACCCCGGGACTCAGCGGGGCATCAGCTGACTTCTCTCGGAAGAAGAAGTAGAGCTTGTCGTCATTCCTCTCACTGCTGTCAGGAATGAGCTGGGCACGCACAAAGGCTGGGTCTGGAATGGCACAGCACAGCATGGCACCATCAGCCCMGTGGCACCCCTGCTCCATGCCATAGCAGGATGCTAAGCCCCCCTCTGCTGCACCATCACCCCGCTCCTGGAAATGCACTGCTGTGGTYACAGGTGAGAGCTGTATCCAAGATGCTGGGTATCTCTCATGATCACTAGTGCACCAGGAGGGGTTTGAAGCATCCCTGAGGTCCCTGGGAGCATCCCTGAGGCCCACAGGTTGAAGATACACATCAGCTCCATGAGCAAGGTAGTGGGAACCAGCTTCCCCCCAGGAAGGAACCACACAGCATGGAAGCTTCTCAGGAAGCCTCTCCCTGCCATCCATCAGCCAGTGCCCAGCCTGCGCTGACAGCTCCCCCTCTTCGGGTTACCACCCCGCTGGCTCCCTGGCCCAGCAGGATCATCCCATCTGCTCTGCTCTGTTTACTCAGCTGCTGCCCTGCAGGCAGGGGTGCTCCGAGGGGGGCAGGATGAACGTTCGGGGTCACCAACTGCAGGCGACACGGTTGACATCGCCGCACTGTGGAAACCCATGCACCAACACCGGCAGGGCCAGCCCCATCTCCCGACAGCTGTCTGCTCCCACCACACAGCAGAGCTCCAGGCATGTCTGTCACTGCCCCACACAGCTATCCCTGCTCTTGTGCCTGCACTTCCTTCCTTCTATCCATCCATCCATCAGTTCATGTCATCCATCCATCCATCACCATCCACCCATCCATCTTCTGTCTGTCCATCCATCCATCCATCCATCCATCACTCCATCCATCCATCAATCTATCATCCACCCATCCATCTTCTGTCCATCCATCCATCCACCCATCATCATCCATCCATCCATCTTCCATCTTCTATCCATCCATCCATCCATCCATCCATCCATCCATCCATCCATCCATCCATCCATCCATCCATCCATCCATCCATCCATCCATCCATCCACCTGCCCACACTGACTGATGTCTCTGTCTGGGCAGAAGGATGCAGTATCACATGATTAGTCTCATCTCTAGGGCTGGAGCCATGGGGTGGCCAGGGCAGCTGGGCCAGTGACACCTGAACTCACCGTTGAGCCAGCGGGAATTGTACTGGTCAGTCCTCATRGCCGTCTGCTTGCCCATGGTGCGGAAGATGGCTGCGTCCGTGCCCATGAAGTCGATGTAGACACCAGCGTAGAGCTCTTCATCTGCAGAGGGCAGAGGTCAGCCAGGAACTCCCACCTCATCCCATCCACCCACCTTCTTCAACTGCCCCAGGCTTTGTCCAGCCCCAGACCTGGCCAGTAGCCACCAGGCAACCAAGAGCCACTGCCTGTGACCATCCCAGAGAGTTCTGGAGGTTGGCACTGGTCTGCAACCATGATTCCCACCTCTGCTGGGCCAGGTGCTTGGCCAGCTGGAGCAGGCAGGGGTGGCAGAGCAGGAACCCTGCTGCTGGTGGGAGCAGTTGTTCCATCTTGCCTGCACCCTCTGCTCAGCGCAGGCAGCACTGGCCCCAGGGAGCCACAGGACTCACTTATTAATGCAGAGACGGTGTCTACTTTGGGGTCGTAGGAGCACTTCCCCTTGCCTGACTCCAGCTTGTCTGGCTCCAGGTAGAAGATATAATCCTGGAGAAGGAAGAAAATACAGCAGCTGGTTAGAGTTGCACCCCTCCCATCCTGTGACAGCTCCCAAAGCCCAGCAGGAGAGGCAGCCTCCTCCGGGATGGCGAGGGCAGGCGCAGATGGACCGCACAAGAAAGAGGTCTGCAGGTCTCCCAAGAAGCTGAAGCTCCTGTGAGTGGCTCTTCCAAAAATGCTGGGTGCTTGTCCATGCCCTCCACCACTTGAGACTTGGCTGAGCCACCAGGCTGAAGTGGAGCATCCATCCCCCAGGTCTCGGAAAGCATCCCCCTCTGACGCCTCTTCACTCCAGCTGGATGTGCTGCTTGCCCAGCTCCAGGTCACACAGCTCCAGCAGCTTCAGCAGGCAGGGTTTGGCCTGCAGCACRGCTYRGCACAGCTTGGCACAGCTCGGTTGCTGAACCCACCGTACTTCTCTTGCCAGAGGCCATTTTCCAGTGCTCTTCTTCACAGGGTGAGATGCTGTGTCTGCTCAGTGGGATGTCTCCCCACCGTCGCTTCTGCTTTCTCTGCAGCCATACCCAGCACCATCACACATTCCCAGCGAGGAGCAGGACACTGCCTCTGAAGACACACTCATAATCCTCTGCCAGTGTCAGCTGGGGGCACACAGGGCCAGGCTGGCCCAGCCAGGTCACCCCTCACCCTGGCACTACCTTCAGCTGAGACAATACAGCGGCACAGGAGCATCTATGGGGAGCCTGGGCATGGGGTGATGTGGAGCAACCAAATCGATACCCACTGGCTATACCCTGATGCGCCCTGGCTTTGGCACATGGGTGATGGACATGGTGACAGCCAACCTCCACTGAGAGGCCAGCAGGGTCCTGGCAGAGCCCCAGCTCTGGAAGAGCAGGARGGGGTGAGGGGCTGGGATCTCACTGTGGGCATTTCTCACTGGAGGGTTTGCTCACATCAGCTCCTCCTGGCACCCAGGCCCGCAGATGGGCACAGSCATGTTTCACCATCCCTGTCATGCACCACGCAGTCTGTGCCACCATCACCATCACAAACATCCCTGCCCAATGCTGGCCCCACTCCCAAGGTGGACAAACCCCTCACAGCGTCAGCCTCTCTCTCTCCAGYATAGCCCAGGCTGCACCATCTCACTCCTGGAGAAGCAACACAGGAGCCATGGTGGTGCTGGCACTGCTGCTCAGCTAACACACCCTGAAAGGCACTGGAGCTGCTGGTGGCCCCCAGGGAGCTCCTGCTGGGACACACCTCTCTCCCCAGCAGGGAGAGAGGAACTGGGGTGACCCAGCGGGGCTAATATGGCAGTGGTGTTTTCCCAGCTGGCACTGGTGAACCGGCAGCAGGAGCTGCCTGCAGTCAGGGAGGTGCTCATGGCCAAGCATCCCCCTTTGTCCCCAGCCCCCAGAGGGGTTGGGGGAGTCCCAGGCTGCACTGGGGTGCCGTGTCCCCCGTGCTCCCCAGCCCATGCACTGACCCGTGTTAGTCCGGAGGGGAGAGACTCGGGGGCGACACTGTCAGGGTGGGCTGCACACTGGGGTGTTCCCAGAAGCCGGGGGTGCTGTCACCTCCCTGACGGCACTTGCCTGCCAAGATGACACAAGTCCCTCCTGGGGCAGCTGCTCAGTAATGTTTCTGTAGACCCTACCCAAAAACCTTCTGCACATCACCTTGCCATCCTCCCCCAAGCCCTGTGGCTCTGCTGACATGTGGTCCCCGTTCCAAGGGACACAGCAAGCCTGGAGTCAGGCAAAGTCAGCAGTGGGTGGAGAGCCAGCGTCCCTGACAGTGTCCCCCACGGGGGGATCCTACCCGGAGCAGGAGGACGGAGTTAGTGAGAGAAGGAAAGCCGACGCCAGGCCGGTGGCCGGGAGATGCTGCGCTGAGAGGGGAGGGGGTGGTGGGGACGCCCACGGCATGGGGCGCCTGGCCCGGGGCTCGGATGCATGCCAGYGGGAGGAAGGAGCCCGCGGCTCTGGTGTGCCCCTGGGGAGAGGTGGGCACRGCTGCGGCGGGCTCCCAGACCGGTTCCCACCTTGCTGTGTGCTGGTCGCGGGCTGAGGGGGCTGTCGGTGGATCTGCTTTCCCGGCCTCCCGGCTGGCTCGGCGGAAACCCCTGGGGAAAAGGAGCAGGGCAGAGAGTTAGCACGGGCAGGGAAAGGATCCCCCAGGGCAGGGGTGAGCAGGGAAACCCAGGAGCTGGCTGATGGGTGCTCATTGAGCAGCAGCACTGCTGTCCCCTGGGCTCCTTGATTCTCCAGGCTGGGCTGGCCTTCAGCAGGAGCTTCTCCAGGATGGATCCTGCTCTCTCCCATAGAACCAGGGTGCCCTAGCACGGGGTAGGAGAGAGTGGAGAGACGGCTGCCCACAACCTGGGGGCTCAAAAGTGGTACCTGACACCTTGTTCCTCCTGTGCTGAGGGGCAATGCCTCAGCACCAAAGCTATCAGCACCACGGGATCACTGGAACACCGCCACACTGCCACTGGCCCTGCTGGACAATCAGTGCTGTCCTCAACTGCACTAGAGCCCTTGATGCTCCTCAAATGCTGCCAGTCCCCAGTCCAGTCCCAGTCCAATCCCAGTTTGGAATGGCCTGAGCAGCATCCCCTTGGGGTCTCTGAGGCAGACACCCGTCCTTCATATCCAGCGCCGTGATCCTCTCTYGGCTTGGGCTGACTCCCTCCCCAGCCTCAGGAGAAGACACAGCCCTGCACTTGCCACCCCAGCGCAGGGGGACGGACACCTCACAAGGCTTGAGACCTCTGGGATATTCATGCTGCTTCTTACAGAGGCTGTGCTGAAAGTGCTCCTCTGTCTGCCACACATCCTGCCTGGTGGCACGCAGCTTTGATGCCACCCTGTCACTGCACATTGAGGTCCTCRGTGCTGGGTGATATGCATCCAGGGATGTTCCTGCCACGGCCACACGCACTGGCACAATCCCTGCAAGGTTCTCCCTGTGCAGCAGTGGTGTTGGCAGGGTGCCAGGCATCCTTGGAATCTGCGGTGAGGGGCTGAGCAGTCTGGCAGCRAGTGGGAAGCTGGGCTGACACATCCCTCGTCCCAGTGGAGATCCAGCAGTGGCTGCAGCCAGCAGGGTGGGAGGGCACRGCGTGTGGAAGCTGCCATCAGAGTACGGCTGAATTCCAGCGTGAAGAGAAGTCCTCGGTCTGTGGAGATGGCTCAGCCCCACTCAGCAGCACAACACCGTTAGCCACAGTCACCCCCAGCCCAGCCTGCCCCTGCCCCCAACCCTCAGGCCCCCAGCAGCCAGCAGAGCCGAGCCAAGCACCCACGGGCCAGGCACCAAGTGAGCACGTGGGTCCCTCCCGCCCCTCACCTGGGCTTTGCGGCCGCGGTTGACGAAGGCGCAGATGGGGTTGTAGGCACCAGTGCCACACACGTACAGGTGCGTCCGGTTCCAGGGCTGGATCAGGCGGATGAAGTTGCCGCACTCCCCCTGGGGAGCAGAGGAGAAGCCATCAACCCGAGCACGGGGGCTACAGATTGTGGTGGGGCCATGGCCGGTGTGGACATGGCATGGAATGGGTCATCGGATGGCATGTGGCATGGGACAGCGTGGGTCAAGGGYTGGCATGGGCCAAGCTGCAAGCTGCAGTGTCAGGCCCTGGTTGGTAGGAGGAAACAGCACAGGGAGTTCAGCCTCCTGCTTGCCCAGGAAGCTCTCCAGGACCTGCCCAGCTGGAGCAGAGTGGGGGCAGGACACTGTGTGGTGCCACCCCATCCTGATACKGCTGTAGGTGCTGCCACACCGTACAGCACCTGGGGGATGGCCTTTCAGGGTAGGACACAAGGACATGAATCCCCCTCCGGTGCCACCCACCAGCCCCACTACCAGAAGAGGGTTCATGGTGGCTACTCACGTTGCTGTTCTTGCCTGACAGGATGCACTCCTCGATYCTCTGCTGGGACGCAGGCCAATGGATCTGTGGAGACACCAACCCAAGGGAGACCAGGGCTCCCACCTGACCCCACCACTTCCCCACCATCAGCAGTTATGCCCATTGAGCTCTTGCCCTGGCATCCAAAAAGCCCCCRAAGTGCCCAATTACCCCCTTACACCCAGTCTCCCTGCCCTGCCGGCAGCTTACGATGAGGGGCTCGCGGTTGATGTCGTGGAGGTCCAGCGACAGGACGTAGTCCTTGCTGCCCACATACATGCGGTCGTGGTCCTCGTCCTTCAGCAGGATGCGGTAGTCACTGGAGTTGAGGAGGAAGTTGAAGAAGTGTGCTGTGCCCGTCGCCTTCAGCTCTACGGGGGGAAAGGGGAAGGTGTCAGCACCCAGGGACCCCCATCTTCCCCAGGGTCACCYCTGAGTCCAAGCCTGGGCCCAGCTGGAGGATGTGCCATGAGAAGAACTGCCCACCTCCCAGTCCCTCAGTGCCCACTTTCCACTCCATGAGCACCATGATGCAGGACATGGGACAATGACAGAGATGCTCACGGCCAGCTGGGACAACCAAGAGTGGTCAGGAGAGAAATTATCAGGACCTGGGCTCAGGAGACCCAGCACCCCACAGCAGGGAGTGGAGGCTGTCACTGAGATGGGGCAGGAGGCAGGGGCTCTCTGCCACCCCAGCCCACAGACCACAGCTCCCAAAATCTCCAGCACCATCCCTGTCCTGCACCGTGACCCAAGCCTCTGGCTCCTAGGATGGGGAAGCTGGGACCCCAAGGAACCAGAGCCAGGGGAGAGGATGAGCCTCTCCCCCGCCCCGCRTACCCCATCCCCCCTTGGAAAGTTATTTTTAGCCTAAGTGTGGGAGCAAGGAGTGAAAGAGGATAATGAGGGTCATGAATATTCACAAGTGCAATGAGGCAGCCAGATGGAAGGCAGAAGTGCTGCAGATGATGTGGGCCGGTGCCAAGAACCACGTGGCAGGGACCAGGGCATGAGCAAGACAGAGCACCCTGCCCTGACAGGACACAGGCCCTGGAGGCCACCCTTTGGAGATGCCACTCTTTGGAGGAGCCACTCCCTTTAGATACCACCCTCAAGTATCAGATGCCACCTCCATGGGATGACATCTGCCCTGGATGCCACTCCAAGCCATCAGATGCCATCCCCATGGGACGTCATCTTCCCCATATGCTTCCTTTTGGAGGTGCYGCTCTCTCAGGATGCCACCAACAGCCATTGGATGCCACCCCCACRTGATACCATCTGCCTCTGAAACCAAACCCCTTTGGAGATTCCACTCTTTTAAGAGGTGTCACCCTCTTTGGATGCCACGAACAGCCATCAGATGCCACCCTCAGCCATTGGATGTCACCCTCATGGGATGCCATCTGCCCCAGATGCCATATTCTTTGGAGTTGTCATCCTCTTTGGATGCCACCAACAGCCATCAGATGCCACACCCATAATAACAGTGATCCAATGAGCAGCCTCACCCTGTGGAGTTTGTCCCTGATGCAGAGGGGTGCCCTGAGCAGCCCTGGGGCGCCCCTTCCTGGGGAGGAGTGGAGTAGGGTCCTGTGGGTCAGTGTCATCACGGTGGGCAGGGCTCAGCAGCCAGCTGCCATTCCCAGTGGGAGGCCAAGGGCCTGCAGGTCTCCCTGACCTCCCACCTCCCACCACACGAAGGACTGCAACATCCCACAGGTGTCCCCAGGGTCCCTGGCCACCCAGGGCATGCCCTCTGTCCCAGGGCTGGCAGCAGTGCTCCCCAGTCCCACAGTGGGGCACCCKCAGAGGTGCAGGGTCACTCAGCAGTGCCAGTGGGGACAGCACACACARTATGGGAACCGTGCGGGAAATGGCCTCATGGGATGTGACATGATCCTCCCGCAGCCTGGGGTCTGTCCTACTGCCAGGGCTGGACGGACAGGACAAGCACAGGGGCGTGTGGAGGGGCTGGAGTTGGGGCTTCAGGCAGGGGGGACCACGGCAGAGGTGCAGGGGAACAGTGCCAAGGATGGGGGGCCAGGGAGCCGCTCACACACCCACCCACGGCAGGCTCCTCCTCCTGCCTGGCCCATCTGGGCTCCAGATGCTCCCTGTTGCTGGTGGTGGCTCATGCCACCCATGGTGTCCCTGGCCTGTCCCRTAGCGGTCCCTGCCTGTGCCATGGCACAGGTCCCTGCGTGTCCCATGTCCTGAAGCTGRCCCATACCCTGTGTGTGTGCTGGTGCTTCCCTCAGCGGGATGCTGGTGTTGGTGGGAACCAGGAAAGGGCAGGGTGGCTCTGGGCTCTGGCAGTGGGTGACACAGGCAGAGCAGAAGAGCTCGTCCCCAGCTGCCCATGACAGAAACCCCCGCCCAGGCTTCCCACTCAGGACAGAAACAGGGGAGCAGGCAGAGACAGGGAGGGGGTTCAACTGGACAGGTGACCCCATGCCAGGGGCTATCCATGGGCCATCCCTGCCCAGCGTTGGGATGCCAGGACCCCCCCAGCATCCCCAGGTCACTCGTTCCTGCAGTCACCCTCCTGGCTGGGACCCTGGGGCTGAGCCGGACAGCGCTGGACACTGGTGGTGGAGGGCGCCTGTCAGTGACAGCCCCAAATATCACACATCCATTAGGATGGGCGTCTCCAGCACTTGGCAGGGGACAGGCCCAGTAGCACAAAGGGCCTTGGCCCCCCACCGGGGGCTCCATTCAGCCCCCCACGGCCCAGCGATCACAGGGGGCACTCCCAAAGCAGGGCGGTGACAGAGCCACTGCCCCGTAACGCCCTCTCCAAAGAGGATGGAGGGGCGGGCAAGACCCTGCCACAACCTCTGACCTCCCAAACTTCCATCCCACTGCATAATCCCCCACTGAAACTGTGCCCCAAACCCGCCCCCAGCAGCCATCGGGACGTCCCTGGGGATGGAGTGGGGCAGGGGAAGCCGGCTCGTTAGCCGATGCGCCCCAACGAGCATCCTCCCTCCCGCACCCCCACTGCCAATCCCGGCACCGGCAGAGCCTCCCCGGCTGGCCCGCAGCCTAATCCCATTTTAATTGCCGAGCACCGGAGCCAGGAGCCGCTCGACATCACAGCCAGGGTGGCCTCCCCGGGGACAGTCCTCTCACAACATTCCTCGGAGCCCCCACCGAGCCCCCGGGACTCGCCCGCCCGCAGTCGCTCTGTGCCCTTGGGCGCTGAGCTGTAATTACCGTGCGCCCTCGAGTGCCGCCGGCGGCCAGGAGCCCAAGGGCTGGCAGCAAGGCGCGATGCTCTGCTCKGCTCTGCTCTGCCCGCGGCATGCTCTGCAAAGCCTAATTCCCCCTGCAACGCCAGTGTCGGGCTGCATTCCCAGCTCCGGCAGCTGTCCACCCTCGCTGGCTGTCACCACCGGCCCCCGTCGGGCAGGGGTGAGTGGTCCCTCTCCATCACCCACTGGTACAGAGACCAGTGCTGATCTCCAAGGCAGAAGGGTGATTTGGGGGGTTCCCGTCAAGCTGAACATGTTTAGGGGCTCCTCACCCCACCGCAGCCCCCCAAATCCTCCCGACCCTCCCAAACATCACCAGGGCACCTGCACGAAGAGTTAACGCCAYTACGACCCGAGCGGGTCACCTCCCCAGGTGCACCATCACTGCATTCCCCAAAACCAATTACAGGCGCTCTCACCTAATTAGATTCTAATTATGGGCTTGTAGCGCATTCAACATAATTAGCATGTAAATTACACGGCGTGTTTATATTCAATAACCGCACTCCGCCCCCCCTACACCCCCCGGCTGGCGGAGCCAGCGCCTTTCGGGAGCCCTTTCTTTGCATGGGGGAGAATGAATTCACTTTAAATGCCGATGGAGAAGCCCAGCACTGATCCCAAGGGAGCCTGGCACAGCAGGGATAAATCCCATCTCCATCCTGCAGCGTTTTATCCCACAAATTTAGAAGCGTGCCCCAAATTTTGATTAGGTTCCCTACTATTTTTTTTCCTCCTACTTGAAATTTGAGATGCAGCTTTTTGGGTACGCGTCGGAGGGGAAGGATGGGGAGCACTGCCGGGAGAGGGACAGGGTACTGGATGTGTCCCCTCTCGTGGTTAAAGCATTTGTTGTTATTGGTGCTGATCAAAGAGCTGGGTGGGTCGTCCGATGAAAGCAGAATTGCTTATTTGTTTGAGCGTCACTCCGCTACCCCTTGATGGGTTATTTATGATGTAATTAAGCTAATTACATGTAATAAGAGAGTTTCCGTGGCCCCCAGCCAAGCTCTTTTCCCATTTAACCGATTCACAGGTGGGAGGAAACCGAAGCTGCCTTGCAGGGGCTCGGGAGATGAAATGACTCCTGTTCGCGCTTGCTGCCTTCCACCCCCGAYCATCTCCAGCGGCCCTGGAGCATCGCCCCGTGCCGGTACCGCGGCAGGGGACAGGGGACAGGTGCTGCAGCCGCCCGGTCAAATCCCCTCGGGATCAAAGAGGTCCCGGCCGGGTGCTCCCCGCAGCCATCGCAGCCCGGCTGGTTGGGTGCAAGCCAAAAAACAATTGAAAAAAAAAAAAAAAAGAAAACCCACATTTTTTCAGCGGAAACCGCTGATTCATCCCCCGGCCAGCCTGCCCGAAGCGCTGGTGGGTGGATGTGCCCCAGCGAGCAGCGCTGGCAGGGGAGACACCTTCCCCACCGAACATCACTGTGCGGTGGTGCCCAGGCTCTTTCTGGGGTAGGGGGTGCGCCAGCAGCGTGAAATCCCCTCCAGGAAAGGGCCTGGCTTCGGAAAAAAAGACTTTAATCACCCCAAAAGCAACGAGCTGAGCTGAGGTGTCCCAACCCACTGCTCTTTGGGCTTTTTTGTTTAATTTTTGGACATTGTTTCCTTCCGCAGCCCCTAAGGGAAGGGCACGGTGCCGGGCGGAAACCGCGGCTGCTCCAGGCCCTTTGCTCTGTGCCCAGGCAGCACGGGATTGGGGAGMACGCCCATGCCAGGACCCCGGGAAAGGCCATGCTGCTCCAGAAGGAGCATTGTTAATTTAAGGGATAACGAGCTTATTAGATATGGGCTTGGGGGGGCTGAAATCACACAGGGTTTTTTTGGGGGGGAGGGTTTAAGGAGCTTATGGAGCTTCACAGCCGGAGCCAGGGAGCTCAGCCCCAGCAGCAGCCGGTCCCAGCGGGTGGAGGGGCCCTGCCGCAGCCCCCCACTGTCCCAGCCAAGGAAATCCTCTTAGGGGTCACARGGTTCAGCCCCATGTCCCCGCCCCCCAGGGCACAGGAAAGGGGACTGCGGCATCCCCCTGACCTTTACAGACTCTAAGCATGGGGCACTCACGCCAGGGTGGGGACCAACAGTGCCAGCGTTCCCGGCACGTTCCCAGGACTGGCTGTCCCCAAGCCCTTGGCCCTGCTTGCGCCCCCTCTGCCCCCCCATGTTTATCGCATCCTGCTGTTGCCAAGCAGTGCCCACAGCTGCAGCAGCTTAGGAGGGCGCCTGGGCGGTCCCCGGGACATGGTCCCCTGTCCGGGCTCCTCTCCAGCCATCTGCCACCCCCTGGCCCAGATCAAGCGTGCCGATATCCCCTGGCCACCGGCAGAGATGCCAGCGGGGTGGGAGGGGAAACTGAGGCACGCGGTAGGCAGGAGCGAGGCCACGCAGGGGGCTGGCAGCGGAGCCCAGAGGAGATTCCACGCTCGGTTCATTCTTTTTAAAGTAATATTTCTCACCCGCAGGAACTGCCCTGCCTCTCAGCCAGCCCCTCCCTGCCAGGGCTGCCCCCGGCTGGACCCCAGCCACAGCTTTCCGAGAGGTGCCAACACGGCCGTGGGGAGTGGCTGCCCTTTGGAAGCCCCACGGACAGCCCTGACCTCGAGGGCTTCCCGCCGTGATGGGGGCGAGAGCCCACCCTTCCTTCCCGCACGCTTTTCCCACGCTGGACAGGGAGCAGCGCACGGAGGGATGAATCACCATCATCATCATCACCATCATCACCTCCTGCATCATCCCGGGAACGGGGCAGCCTCTCCAGTGCCCGAGGGCCCGGCCCGGAGGAGAGGGGGCCGCAGGATGTGTACGGCAGCGCGGGGAGAGAGCGAATCGTTAGCACGGAGATGATTAAAAATATCCACCCTATTTCTGGCCGGCACTGGGATCTGGGAAGAGCTGTTGGCAAAGGGGAGCTGTGCCGGAGCCGCTCCCAGCACTGTTCTTTCCATGCTGGTCACCTTCCTCCGGCCGGCACACGGACAGGAAAGCCTTGAGAGGAGGACAGACGYAAAGACAGCACGGGGGTGACGGGATGGGGGGAGGACTGACCCTGGCCAGGGCACGGGAGCTCGGCTCCCGCCCCTTTCCTATCACTCGAGTATTTTAGAGATGTATTTTTTCTAATGCRCTCGGAGACGCCGGGGCTCCGTGGAGGATGACGCAGGCCCCGGGGAGCTGCGACAAGCCTCTGGCGCGCGATAACAAGCAAAGGCAAACAAACCCAGAGACGCTCCCGCGGCTGGCAGGGCTCCAGACAGCGTGGCTGCCCCGGCAAGGCGCCGGGGACACACTTGGGGACATGGTGGCTCCTTCCCCAGCACCCTGGCCACAAGGCCACCTTGGTCCCACACTGGCACCAGGATGCTTTCACCAGAGGGATGCTGTGGTGGAGACCCACACCACAAACCCAGCAGCTGTGACAGCCATTGGTCCCCTGTGGCACCACAGCCATCCCTGACAGCAGGGYCCAGCCCAGCTCACCACACCAGTGTCCCCCAGCCCAGACCCATCACACCCAACCCCACTGCCTGCAGCTGCACTGGGGGATTTGGGACTGGGCATTTGGGTATCAGCTCTGCCTCCCCAGGCAAGAGAAGGGGTGGGCTATCCACAAAGTGTCACTGTCACCCCATATCTCATGGCCCTACGGCTTCAGGGAGGCTGTGGGGAGATGATCAACTCAGGAAGCTGCTCACCAGCACTTTGGTGTGTGGCCCCCAGATGGTCCTCGAGGAAGACTCTGGGAACATTCTCCACCACTGCCACCCTTGTCAGAGCACAGGCAGGAAAGACACAAGGGGCACCCCTTCCCAATCCCGATGAGCTTGGATCCAGCACACCACTGGCATTTCTTCTCCATGTGCCAGTGCAAACCAGCCCCTTTTCCTCTGCAGATCCTCTCTGGGCAGCGAGGGCAGGGGAGCCCGGCCACACCACCTCAGGCAGGAGGAAGGACTGGGGATTCTGACACAAGCACAGCCAGGAACCATTGCTCCAACCAGCTGGGGCCAAAAAAACCAACCCCAAACCAGCCCATAACCTGTGGCACTGCAAGCTTAACCATGCCTATCCAGAATTAATCTCACTCCCGGAGCACAGCGTGCGGTGGGCACCAGGTCCGCTGGGACTTCACCGGAGCCTCCCCTCCCTACAGCCATGAGGAAGAAATGTTCTGAGCCGGGGTGGGAACCATCTCTACAGCAGCTGAAATGCCCCAGCAGCCCCCAAACCCTCMAAAAACGCTGTTTGGAGAGGAGAGTGGCGTCTGCCTCTGGGGAGGAACTCGCTCACTGCTTTCCAGCCTGGACTTGTCCCCAGACTCTTCATWCCAGCCATTTTTTCTGTCAAGACCAGCCTGTAACACCCGTGGCTGGTGCTGTTTCACCGTGTTTGCTGTCGGCCCCCAGCCCCTCCCGTCCGGCTCTGCCGTGCTCACCATCCGTTCTGCCACCACATCCTCGGGCTCGCAGCTTCAGCAGGTGACCAGAGGGCAAAGGCACGGTGGGACAGCACACGAGGGGCACTGGCAGCACGGGCCCAGCTCTCCCACAGACCCCAAGGGGACACAGACACGAGACTCCTCGTGTCTGTCACCTCCTGACACACATCCAAGCAGGCAAGCCCCCAGCAGCGACAATTTCTGTTCTGCTCAAGGTTTGTAACCCTCGGACCTGCCTCATCGGCCCCAGCCTGCCCTGCTCAGCAACCTYGAAACAGTAGCTCAGGACAAACCCCTCCACCAATGTGCACCCCAAAGCCGACCCAGGGGTCCCCCCACAGCTCCTAGAGCGGCTGGGTGGGCTAAGCAGCCCYGGTATGAAAGGGTTAAGCCCCTTCCCCCCACCCAGCACCCTCCCCTCCTGCCTCTCGCGGCTCCCTGCCAGCTCCCAGGCGTTAATACCAGCTGGGGGGGTCGGGGCGGCGTCAAGCTGCTGTCTGGAATCAGGGTGCTGCCGGGGGGCTTCCCGCACCCCAGCACCCAGCTCTGCCAGATGGAGGGAGCCACCCACCCGCAGCAGGAGGGATACTGGGGGGACTAGGCAGGCTAGCAGCCCCCCCAGATTGTGTGCGCTGGTGCAGACTGGGAGCTCAGCCACACCTGAATATGGATCCCCATGGAGATCTCTGAGGGTGCCGATTGCTGATGCCCCCCGAGAGAGGGGGAGGAGGAGAAGGAGGAGGAGGAGGAGCCTGCATTGGGGTGCCCGTGGTTCCCTCCATCTTGGGGTCCCACCCTGCCTCCCGCTCCCACAAGCAGACCCTTACCTTTGAAGGAGAGCTGGACCCTCGGGGTGGCRAAGCCGTGGTCCTTGGGGTGGGCAGCCCGCCAGCCCAGAGTCAGCAGGGTGGCCCAGAGGAGGACACCGACCACGGGCATGGTGGGCACGCCTGGGCGCCGAGATCGGGGGGAGTCTGGGGAGCCGAGCCTGCCAAGGAGGGCACACGGGACAGGGATGTCAGTTCGCTGCACCCACTGCCCCCCGAGGGGTGCGAGCCCCAYGTCCCGCTCTCCATCACCCGCTGGCACGCAGCATCCTCTGGGGAGGACTGGAAGCCAGCCCTGGGAGGATGAACTCGGCTCTGCAGGCTGTGGGGCAGGGGACACGAATCAGGGGGGCACAGCCTCACCTCCCTGAGTGCCCAGCCAAGCACGCAGGGCGAGGCAATTACAGCGAGAGCTGCTGCAGCACCTTCCTCCACCCCGACCAGCGAGTCTTGGCCAGGTGAGGAGCATCCCTCCATCCCTGCTCACACCCCCCTCAGCTGCAGCATCCCCAGTCCCTTGCTGGGTTGGCTCCCCCTGCCCYGGCACCCAGAGGGGTCCCACTCCCAGCCCTTGCCTCCCCACCTCTCCTCCCAGCCTCCAGCAAAGCCACAGCAAGCAGAGCTGGGATCAAATCTTTCCAACATGAAGGAAATCTGGACTTCATTATTCCAAGAACGTACAAAAAA